AATTTAGCTAATTTTTATAATTTAAATGACATTTAAATTTTATAAATTAGCAAAATTAAATATATTATAAAAAAAAACTAGAATTTATTTAAATACAAGTTCATCTAGATTACTTTTTTAATATCAGCTCTTTTGGCAAAATTTAAAAATCTGTAAAGTTTTTATGAAAATTGGAGTTTTAAATTTTTTATTAATTATTCATCAGTCTTTTAAAAATTTAAATTATTAAAATTAGAACTGTGTAAATTTAAAATTTCATCATTTTTTACCTGAAAAGCCTTCAGGAAAGTGTATGAGTTTTTTTTCTCTTACCAGATATTGCAATATTGTTAATTTTTTATTTTATATTGTTTTTTCGTATGGTAAATCTAAAAAATGGGCATAGATTACCTCTTAGTACACTATTAAAATTTAAAGCTAAATAAAAATGGTTTTCTAGAGTATTATAAACTTTGACCTTTTGTAGATAAATTTAAAATCTCCAGATGCCTAAACTTGCACCTTTTATTATTATTATTATTTTTTTTTTAATATCTACATAAATCTTAAGTTTATCAACATCGAGTTAGTTTCTTGGAATTTTTTTACAACAAATCTGCGAGCTATTCATTTCAATTAAATGGCGCCAAGCCGTCACAAAACAGATCTCGCTGGCTTGGCGTGACGCTAAAAATCCATACACTGACTGAGCCGGTCCTAATTAAAAAGAAGTAAAATTTTCGGCTTTGTGCCAAAAACTTGCGCACAAACCGTTTCCTCATTATTTCCGCCGCAGTCGGATTTAAAAAATAAAAGAGCCAGATCAATTCGCAGATGGCAATCGCAGTCGGTTTGTATAATTCTTGGTCTACAACTTTGGCATTGTGTGTTTTTGCTTGAATTGAGGCGTAATTTTTAATCCTTGCGCGGCGGAGGTGAGTCAGAAACAATGGCGGGCCGAGCGAGTCTCGTTAGTCTGCGTTTAAGAAGCACTCGGGGCTGCGAAACAAAGGCCGAGCGAATTCTGCTACAGCTCCGTCGCTCGCAAATTCACTCACGAGGGTCACACAGCGCGCTCTTTCTTTTAATGGGGACGCGATCGTGAAGGAGGATTAGAAAAGAGTGCTCGACGACATCGCCGCGCAGGCAGGGGCGTGCATTTGCAGTCCTTCTATTCTCTCTCTTTCGCCCGCGTCGTTATCCTGCCTGGCAACACATCCTCCGCTATATGCATGTATTCATATTTTTATTTGACATCTCCACCACCGCTGCATGCACCTCGTTTTTTCCACCCCGCGACGCCACACAGAGACCTCGTTGCCGCCCTAGTAGAGACAGAAACTGTCAGCCGACTCTGCAAAAAAGCCGTATATGTACTTCCGTACATGTCCGATCTGTATTTTCGCTGAACAACGTGCAGTTTTACTTACAATCTCCATCCGTCTAGACAGAGACGTCGCGGCCAACAAATTGAATTAAAGAAGCATATTATTTGTGAAATTGAATTACATTATGTTGGCTGACGAATGGATACTAAATGAAATTTTTTTTATTTTAATCTTCTTGTTACGCAGGAGAAAATTTGACTTTAACATCCTATTATTAATGAGATGAGAAACAAAAATTCCAGAAGTCAAAATCTGACCGTGAGAAACCAATTTTTTTTGTATTTGTTTGTTTACCAAACAATAATTTAATCTCCATTCTATTGAAATAATCGAATAATTTCTTCAATAATTTAATTTTTCTAATTGTTGTTGTAGAAATTCTTTATTTCATTCAACAAAGCTGAGTAAGAAATTCTCGATTCACGTGCCTAATAAAAAAGCTAAAAATAAAACAACGTCAGCGATCACAATAAATCGCGGCGAGCCACGAAAGCTGCCATGCCATTTCTGTCAATCCGGTGCAACACTTCTTCTTTCAAATCCATATATCCGTCGCCGAATCAATAGCCTCCATTTAATCAGTGAGGCGGTGGTTGCGGTGCCGCGGGGGTGGAACGGCGCACGGCTGCGCCACATAATCGTTTCCACGCCACCAGATACATAAATCATCTGTCAAATTACGCGGAAAACAAGCAAATTCTCCAAAAGGAAGTAAAGAGTTTTCCGAGGTCGCGAAAGCAAAAGCCTCGAACCCAATTAGCGACTAATGGCATTAGCGGGTGCATAATTGGGCTGCACCTGCCGACGGTCGGCCCAACGGATTAGCGCCTTTGTTTTCGTCTGGTGGCGGCTGCTGGAGGGCTTCTCGCCCCCGTCCACCCCCTAAGCAAGCAAGCCGGCCGGACGTGCCCTCTCCGCAAACAAGCGGCAATAAGCGCCGCGTTGCATTTTATATTTTGCTGTCGCGCTAGTTTTGCAAGTGGCTCTCCTCGGGCACGCCTCGCCAAGCCCATTTTTCAATTATCGATCACCAGACACGAGAGGGCTAATTTTTGCTTCGGCGAGCACGGTCTTGTGCTTACGGAGAGAGAGCAAGATTTTTTTTTTCATCCTATACACAAAAGAGTGCATCTCTCTCTTTTACTCTGGTGCACTGTAATCGACCATATCATGGCACAACAGCCACGGCGAATATAACTCGCGTGTATCGATTTTGGCGTCAAAAGTTCTTGACGGCCAACCCCATTTCCGATCGCCCTTCAATTCGGCGGCCCCTTCCGAAGCAGAATTTCGCGATTGCGCCACAGACTTGGGCAAAAAAGAAAAATAAGAGCAGGGAAAAGAGAGCCGCGGCCAGCATTTTTGGCGACGGTAATTGAATGGCAGGCATGCCGAGCGCAGGAGAGCTTCCTGGGTCTCGCAACGGCTTCCGATTGTAAGCTCAGTTGAAAATCATGGTCATGGCGCCCCATTGTCACTCTAATTCAGAATATATTGATGTGCCAAATAGCAAAATTTGCTGAACATTTTGATTAAAATTAGTGATCTTTAATTTTTGGCTCATTCAATCTTTAAAAAAATTGACACACAATTATATAAATGCTGCAATTTAAAATTATTAAAAATAAAATCATATTTGGATTATTTAGTAATTCAGAAAAAAAAACATGAAATACTCAGCATTATTGTGTTTATGCAATAAATAAGCAGGGAAGAATTTAATCGTTGGCCAAGGCTATAGCAAAATACAAAATAAAGAAAAATAGATTTCATTCAAATATGTTATTTCTAAAATTTACATAATTTAAAAACTGTTCTTTAGGGAATAATTTTTCACCAAGCATGGAATAATTATTCTGGATAATGAAGAATCTGGACAGTTTCAATCTGATTGTGAGGAAGAAATTTAACAATTATTAAATTAATATCAATAATTCCAAATAAAAATCAACAAGAAGAAAATAATTAAAATTGAAAGATTTGCGTTGGAGTAAAATAAAAAGGCAGCTGGGCCGTTCGCCAAGCCAACTCTTCCGAAAAAAATCGCGTGTTGGAATCAACAATCGGCTGACACTTTACTCTGGAGTTAGTCTGCCGGGGCTGGCGCTGCGGAGTGCGCTCATTAATAATTCAGCGTGTATGCAGAGTGATTCAACAAATAGCAGGATTGTGTGTCACACGGAGAGAACGAGATCTGTGCACATAGCAGTCTAACGCGGCCGGGATGGCTGGCTGGCGCGAATCGGGTGTAAGTGAATAAAAGTCAGCCGCAGCAGCCCCGTTTGATTAATGGCCTGTGCTGCCGTTTCGCCGTCGATCTCGCGCGGCGCGCAAACGATTATTGCCGTGCGAAATTAATAAACAGTCGCTGTAATTAAAAAAAAAGAAGAGGACTGATGGAGTGTCTGGCATGATTGAAACGAGTTTGACGTGGTGCCGGAGAGAGAAAGAGAAGCGGGCGGGCGGGTTGCCTGCCTGCTTCTCTTGGTGCACCAGAGATTATCGATCCGAACCTCTCTCTCACCACCAGCCTCTCTCTCTTATACACTCTCTCTCTCTCGGTGTGTGTCATTATTAATATGCAGCCCAAATGAGTCGAAATTTGCATGCACCCCATTAGCGATCGAATCCGGCGAGCTCGGCTGGCGCGGAATTCGCCGAGGAAAAAAAGAGCCCCGGATTCCATTCGGTTTCGGGAGCTCCCTCCGATTGAATTCTCACCCCGTCGAATTTGTTTATAGACTCGGCTGCGTCTCGAGCGATGCGCAAATGAGATTTCGCAGTTGATTAATTTTTCGCAGACTCTCTCTGCTTATCTGCGCTGCTGGCTAAATAAATTATTCGAATAATCTGTATACACACCAATAAACCCGGCGGGCGCGCGCAGACAGATGCTTCTCTGCAACATTTAGCGGATTTATGAGTGTATATTAATTTTGCGGCGCCTGCAAAAATGAAAAGAGTTAATGGCTCGTTTTCTGCGTGCAAAATGACTGCGGCTTATTTACATAAACAGATGCTGAGATACTTAATCTGATTTTTAAGGAAATTCACCACTTGTTTCACGATCGTTAAAACGGAAGATTTTCATTTTATGCAACAAGAAAAGCTATTCAAATTTTTTTGAATAAATTATTTTTAATGTCTTATTCAGCTCTTAAATATAATTATGAAGGCAAAATTGAAATAAAAATCAGCAAATGTTTTGTTTACCAAATAACAACTTTGCAGGAAATTAACATCATATTAAATTTTCGCAACCAATTACAACCCGTCAGTCCACCGCTTGCCCCCGTACAACCCTGACCCCATGTCAAGTTGGCGCGAACCTGCGGACCAGGCGGCCAAAAAGTAGTGCGCAAACCGCGGCCTATTATTAATCTGCACCCCCGATTAGCTGCCCCTTTTCCGAGTTGACCAACAAACCCCCTGACGGACTCAGCAATCCGATTAATTAGTCTCGTTGGATCGATATGATTAAACATGCCGGCCCCCTCTGCTTTTAGAATTGTTGTTGTCGTTATTGTTTGTGCGTGTGTGTGTGAAAGAGAATTGGTATACTTGAGCGGGCAAACTAGTCTCTTTGGTATGACAAGAAGTGTACTGAGCCTGATTCTCATTGTTGCTCCACAGACCCTGACCGAGTATTGTTGGACCCTCCTGACCAGACCACCAGTGCTACTGGCCACTCAACCACACTGAACCAACCGCTGCCCTCGACTACTTTGCTAAAAAAAAAACTTTAAACAAAACACGCAAACCACTCTCACCAAGTATCAGAACTCTCTGCTCGGAACAATTGGCGCTGAGGAGAGCAAATCCCCCCGTAAACGACCTGCCGCGTCTCTAAACCACCCCTGACACCAAACTCACCCACTTGCATCATGGCATCCATAGATATTAAGACTTTGCCCAATGACGACCCTAATGTCACGCTCACCATCCGGCTCATCATGCAGGGAAAGGTAAGGACAATGATTTGAGATCTTCTCTCTCTTCCACTAGTCACAAGAGGGTCGAGGGAACAAAGATAAAACCTGAAATACTTAAAAATTTTAAATTATAATGTTGATAAGGTTTTGTAACTTTAAATTTTATTTATAAAATTTTAATTTTTTATTAATATTTACTCATTTGAAACTTTAATTTTTAATATAAAAATTAATTTCATATTATGGACACCATAAACAGAAGTTAAAATATTATAATGTTTATACGCGTCACTCGATAATAATATAAATTTTGATGCTGAACAAAGGAGATATGAAATGGTATTCGTGCTAATTTCTAGGGTTGGCTTGTGGTGGATTCTCTGGTTGTGGTTTTCTATTTATTAGACAAATTTTAATTTTCAATATGTAAGAATATTTATTTATTCAATTTGGGCAGCTGCAATACTCTAAATTTAATTGTTCACTTCTACTTTTACGTCTTATCATTTCTTCTCTTTTATTCAATTTTCAACGACGAGAAGAATAACTAATAATTATTATTTTTGCCATGACTTATATAATGAATTTTATAAAATATATTCCTTATAAAGAGCAACGATTATTACTGAATCAATTTTGGCCTCACGTTTTCCATCAGCCAGAGAACAATAATGGCTTCCTCTGCTTTTAGCACATCCATGGAATCGCGAATCAATCTTGAAAGAGTTTTGCGAAATATGGCCATCTTCCCTCTCCCACGCCGAGTTTCTCGCTGCGAAACACAAAAGCTATCGGTTTCTGAAGTCCTTTTAACGGCGTCATTTTGTATTCCGAGCAGCCCGCATTGAAAACGGCAGGCAACTTGTGTGAAAGGACGAAGTATCTCATGATATCGCTTCCCAACACTTTGACTTTCAACTGCAGAATATTATTGATATTCCATAATAGTAATAGAAAAACACGCAGCGGGGAGGAGTGGATTTATCGAATTGTCACACACGCGCACACCATTATATGGAAGTTGGAAAGTGGCCGCGTGGATCTCTCGGCAAGTGGGAAGGAAACGGAGCAAGGGAGCGAGTTAGAGCCGTGCAAAAAAGCGCTGGTAATCCAATTAGCAGAGCTCTCGGATGCGCTCTTTCGGATCAGAAAGTCTAATAACTTTGTCTACTTGAAACACTTAAAGCTCTTGTTAAATCTGGCTGTTAGAAATCGCAAAAGTCAACCATCAGGCGCATTAATTTCAAAGTTCGCTCATAATGGAACTGTAACAATCAAATTTTTGGAATAATATTTCGAGGAACTTTCTAAAGGCCCTTCTAGCGGCTGTCGTTCGACGACAACGACAGAATCTGTCGTCGCTGATACGCGCTCTGATTGGTCAAAGCTGTTTAAACGATCGCAGCGCCGCCTTGTCGTTCAGCGGCGACTAAGGTAAATAAAAACGTCGACCGACAAGGGGGCGTAGCTCAGAAAATCTGAGCTCTTGGACGGCAAAATTTTCTGTCGCTGGATCGCAACCAATCAAAGCTCAGGATTTGAATTTACCGCTGATCAAATCATTGATCATCCAGTTTGTTTTTCAAAATTTTCCTTTTCGGAGGGAAAAGCTCACACTAGACCCAGCAGCTTCACAACTTGTCTGCGTCTGCACGCTTCGCGTTAAATTTTGAAATTATATCGCAATGGAAACTTCAGAAGAAATTGTGTATTCTTCATAAAATCCGATGCCGCGAACATCAGCCCAATCATTAAAAAGGCCCCACCTGCCATAACGATTTCATCCTCACTGTCACTCATAGTTCAGATTTTACAAAAATACAAGAATTAATAATTCTACGATCTTAAAATTTTGGAGCAACCGAGCAAGCCAAACAAAACAACTTTTTGGCGCAATCCACTCGGTCGAAGGAAACGCCTACTTTCCGATATGCGCGCCACCTTCGGCAACGACAAAAAGTATCCTTGAACGACAGCCGCTATATTAGAACAGAAAGTAGTGCAACTTTTCTCGCTCCGACCATTCTGTCGTTGTCGTCGAACGACAGCCGCTAGAAGGGCCTTAATAAAGTGTAATCTATAGATATTAATTCGTTAATTTAAAATTTACTCCATGATTCAAATATTAGTGTACAGAAGAATTGGGGGAGAGTAAGAAAGTAAATACAAAGATTTTGAAATTTTTTAAGAAAAAAAAATCAAAACTGCAACTTCTTTCAACATTTTCAAGACAAATAATTAATATTAATTAATTATTATTGTTGCCATATCACATTGATAACATTAAATTTTTGAAACCAATTTTCTTATTTGAACTACAAAAATTAAAAAAAAGCCAAAATTTTGAAAAATGTTTCATTAACTTAAAAGTATTACAAACGTTAATTAATCAATTTAGATTGTAGGTTTCAACCCCTTCCAACTCTCAACTCTTTTTGCCGGTTTAATGGGCTGGGTAGCGTAGTTAAAGGGGTTAAGGGCTTAAAAGTCTATTCTCTGCGCCCACCGCAAAAAGCGGCGATTTATTTCGCGCCCGGCAATTTCACTTCTGGTTGTCGCGCCGCAGTCGCTGAAAGAATGTTGCTAAATAAAGAGCAGACACGCGAGTTTTTTCGCGATGAGAACAATTATTTGGGGTCGCCGCGACCGGTCCAAGTCGTGCGGTGCATTCCGGCGGCAATCGGCGGCGTACACGTGCGTCCACGTGCTGCTATTCTAAGTTAACGCGTAATTGAAAGCACGCCAGTCACCTCTCGATAAAACAAAGCACCTCCGAATACTCGGCGGCCTCTTCTAATTCCACGTGTCGTCTCTCTCTCTTTCGAAACTTTTATACGTATTCTTCTTTTTGCTTTTTGTCCCTCGCGCGCTCGAACCTTGAAATAACTCTCCGTCGCACGCGCTCGCCACCTAAGCACGCACCAATAAAACGGCAAAATCGAACACCCGCCCGGCCAAGACGCAAATAAATTTTTTTCCTCGACCAAAAAGCGCGCCGAAAGAAAAATAGGCTCTCACGCCCGCGACACGCGCGGAAAGAGAATTACGAGATTATTCCTCAGCTGATTTTTTTTTAACTCCGGGAAACTGAAGCCGAAGAAGTTTCGCAACATTGTTGACGAAAATAGAAAGATTGAAGCGGGTTTTGAATTTGTAGCTTTTCTCATTCTTTTCAACCTTGTTTAAAAACGAGCCGAGTGACGTTCAGACTTAACTGTTATGACAATGTGGAAGAAAGTGAAATGAGCGCTTGAGAGAATTTCGGGTAATAATAGACCTCATGAATAGCTAAACCTTCACTTGGGAGTGATAGAGCGAGGGGGAGAGAGAGAATGAAATATTTAATTTTAATCACAGTTAAAAGTTTTCTTTCTCTCAATTTGAGCGAAATTTTTTCAAGACTTCTTAGAAATTAATTCCAGCCTCACTAGATTTAATTAAATCGGTTTACTTTTCATGCGGTGTTTCCTGAAAACTTTCAAGGAAATTCAGTTGATTAAATTAACTTATCTCCGGGGACGAACCAGTCCGTAGATTATTTCACTTGGCTGAATTTCATCACGCCCTCCTGCACTTTATTCAATCACTTTAGGTTCACGTTGGTGTTTGAAACACCTCCATGAAAAATTAAAATGTTTTAATATTGATATTTAATATTAATTTTTATAATTTAATCAAATATTTAAAAATAAAAAAAAAACACCTGAAAATTGAAAGAAAAACTGTATTTATTCCACAATAGCAGAGAAGAACGACGCAATAACAAAAAATTTGCCACGAAATTGCACCAGTGATGAGTTCAGACTCCATCGAGAAGTTGGAATTGGCTTTCCGCGGTGTTGATTACGGCAAATAATGTTAGACGTAGCAGTAATGGAGTTGCGTAACTCGCTCGCTGCGACTCGAGGACGCACAAACTTTCCGAAATCAACCAAACTATGAAGCCACTCGCGTAATTTCCGCAACATCGCACAAACAACAGTTTGTGTTATTATTTGTGATTGACGAAGAGTGTCCTCGAACCCAAACTATTTTCTCACTAGACGCCGATGATAATAATTGCAACTTTTTCCCCGTTGAAGAGAAAAACTATCATTTTTCCTCCGGCCTCTCCCTCCGAAGCAAAGTCCAATCAATCTCCGTAAGAAGATTACATCTTTCGACGTAAATCTGCTGGCGGTCGCCGCCAATTTCGAAAATAAAATTCGTTTCGTCACTGCTCTCTTTCACTAGGCGAGCCAGCTTTTGTTCTCTCGGGCAAACAAACAAAAATACTGCGCCAAATTAATTAATCGAGCAGCAGCTCGCTCTCGCGTTGCAAAAGCGAGTGATATTTTTGGAGGCCATAAATTGTTTTGCGTGCGACGCGGCCAGCTCGAAGGGGCTTCTTCTCCCTTATCACGTGGACTGCCATCTGGACACCTGAGGCCGGCTGCACTTGCAGAGGGAGGGGCACCTGCAAATGGGCTCGTTATCCGGCTCGAATTATTGCGGAGAAAACTTTTCTTGTAAGCCGGGGGTGCTCTAAAGGGAAATTTCAAATTTTCACGTGCACCTGTGATACAATTTGCAACGCCGCTGTTGTAAAACAGAGGATAATTAAACTTTGTTTATTCATATTTAATGCGGCTTGTTCCATTTTGTCCAATTCAACACGATTAGGTGCATTTTTAGCAAACCAATCTAGGATTTTTCAAAAATTCCTTACAATTAATACCACAAAATTAAATATGCCATACTGCTTTGTTCTGTTCGTATTGCTTTTTCCAGCATTGGCGAGGGTATTATATAAATAAATTAGGTTCTTAAGAGTTTAGAATAAAAAAAGTATATTTTAAAAGTTAAGGTATCAATTCCTGGACATTTATATTGAGTTTTTAACATAATTAGATAACTTAAACGTGATATATTTATATATCATTAGCTAATTCATCTGCTATTAAACAATTTGATGCACAAAAGAAATGAAATTATGCAAATATTAACTCCAATCTTAAAGATATTAAAACAAATAATAAAAAATATTTAATTTT